ATTTAGTACAAATTATTCATTTGCTTGTAATTCTAAAAACAATTTTTTAATATAACTATTATTTAAATAAATCTACCATCATGTTCCCAACTTGTCACAGGGGTTTAAATAGGGAGGGCTGTTTTTTCTTATTGGGTGGTTCCTCTCCAAGGTTACAAACAGCCTTTGAGTCTCAAACAGAAACAACAGCAGCACTAAAACAAAAGATTTTTTTGTTTTGCCCTTTTTCTTTCAAACAACCCTTTCATCGCCATGACAGGCAGTGGCTTTTTAACGACAAACTGCATTAGATTAAAACAATTCAGTGCAAACGCTTTAGTGAGTTTTGTGCCTGGTGTGTAGATCTATGGAAAGTGGGTGCTGCACGTCGGCTCGTGGGACAAACCGGGCCTGAAGAGTGACCTGCTGTCGGTGAACAGCTCCTGGGTCGAATTGTCGCCATCCTCGGACAGCGGGGTCATCACCATCTACTGGGCTGACCGCCTGTAAGGACTGATCACAGACTGCAAAAAAAAAACTTCTCACAGTTTTGCTTTTAATTAAATTAGGCATAAATTGTTGCTATGAATAGTTATAAATAATTAGTGTCTTATCAGTGGGACATAATGTGGAGAAAAGGACAAATGTCTTTACCCAGCAAAACAAGACCTGTTTTACTATTTAGGCTTTAAAAACAGCAAACTAATATGGGAAATGCTTTGTTAGCTAATATTAARGCACTTATAAGCTCCTAAATGGACCAAAAGATTAAACACTAAACCTGACTTTAAACAAAAACTAAACCAAAATATAAAAAAAAACGACATGTAATTTTGAGTGTTTCTTTCGAAGCCCAGGCCCAGATAAAACAAATGGTTAGGAGTTCTGAAATAAAACAAGAATCATCAGACAAACTTAATTTGAATTTCTAAATATATTTTATTTGTTTTTTTTTCACTCATTTTGTGTCTTTTAAGTCTTTCCTCTCTCTAATAGCGATGGTGTAAATTAGGTGATGACATCATTTAGTGAGTTCTGATTACMTTTAGGACAGTCGAGCGATTTTCCTTTCTGAGAAGTTGACTACACTGGTTTGTCACTATTTTCTCAACTGAACATAATCCATGTTGGGGATTTCATCAGGTGTCTTAAGGTTTGAGACGTTTGCTGATTCTTGAAAATTAGCCAATAGCATAATCTACAGTAATTTATGCYRTTTTCTCCACACTCTGTGCTCTWTCTGTCCYAGCTGATAAGRTACCAGTTATTAAGAACATCATTTCAAAAATGACTGAACTATCCCTTTAAARTTAAAWATGTTTCTGTTCTTGTTACAGCAAAGACGACAAGTGCCTTCATGGTCCTGCCAATGCCACCATTTCAGGAACGACCAGTCACACCACTTGTACGTGTTTTATAATATTCTGGGGTTTTTTTTTCTGTTTACTGACTCACCATCTCTTGCTGTGCACAGAACCAAATCACATTATAAAGGTGTGGGTGGATTTTAGAAGCAAACACTTGTGCAAAACAAGTCTGAATATTTTTTTAGGTGCATTTTAGCTTTCACTCTGGTAAAGCAACATGCATGTTCTGCACATTTTCTCCCATGTTTTCCAGTTATCATCAATGGCCACACTTCCTATCATGATGGAAAATATTACGAGACCTGCAGTGATTGTCTCCTGTCTGAGGACACAACTCTCCTCCCAGACGGCAAGTCAAAAGGACGATACCTGTTCCTCTTCAGTAAGACACGGTTCATGTTTTTCCTCATATTTAGATCATGCTGATCATTAGGATGCAGCCTTACATGGTCACTCTTTTTTTACAGCACGGACTGGTTCTCTGGAGCCATCCGAGCTGGACGTCTTCAAAAAGCAGGCAGAATGTCTCGAGTTTCTCCCAGAGTACCACTTTGGAAGCACACGTAAGACAGCGTTTCCAGCTTTCGGTTCTACAAATAACCAGAAAGCGTATTCATTCTGAGCTGTATTTATTTTTTTTGTTATGATTTCAGATCTGTGTCCAGACGAGAGGGAATCATCTGCTGTCAAGAACACAGAGAGTGACCAAACTGAAACTGAGGAGGAAAAAGAAGACACGGCTCAGTAAAACCATCTCTAACCACACTGTGCTGCAAAGTAACGTCTCATTTCTGAGTCAGATTTTTGTAGCAACAGACTTCAAAGGCCTCTGGTTGTCATGTCATTAATTCAACACCACGTAGTTTAACCTCTTATTAAAATTACTTCAGTAATATGTGTATGCAGCTGTTTTCCACTTGTTGTTTGTGGTAAATAAAAACAGTTCTTAATCCCTCTGAATGTGTTTTTTTTCCCCGCAATGGCTGCTTCACCTCTTCCTTTGTTTTCGATCCAACAAAGTTAAAAAGCTCTCCCTGTTCCCTGAAACACGCCGTCGCCGGGTAACAACTGTCAGAGGGGGAGAAAAGGAGTCCACACAGAGGAACAACCTTTACTTCRTTGATAAAAAGCTAGAACAAATCCTTTCTTAAAACATTTCARCAGTCCTGTGGCACTTTTCCTGACTTCATTCAGGAGCAGAGATGYGAGGAACAGAAGTCCCGTTGAGCTGGCCTTTCAGTGGCGTCCAAAAGATTTGCATGTCTCTGAGTGCTTGCTGAAAGTAAAAAATAAAAAAAACGTTAAGCATTAAAGACCTCCCCCTGTTTCAGCACTTACACAACAGCTTGTTTTGTTTGAAACTCTGGAGAGAAAATGAATCAGTGTCAGAGGGTTCCTGCTGCAGGTTCAGTTCTGTCCGCAGCCATGGCTCTGCTTGTCGTTGGGTTTCTGCTGACTCTGTCGTCCCTCAGCGCAGCCTCTTCTCCCGACTGTAAGGACCTGGTCCAACCTTTCACACCAGATGACCCCAGTTCAGTAAGTTACCTTTTTTTTTTTAAAACAAAATATCCCAATAATGGTTAAAAACACCTATTTATTCTGACAGCATTCATGCTTTTGCTTTACAGGTGTTTGGAAAGTGGGTGTACGTTCTGGGAGCTGGTGACCCCGCGCCGTACCACAAAGCACTGGAGTCCCTCAGAAGCTCCTGGATCGACTTGTCCCCCACGTCTGATGCTTCAACTGTGACTCTGCGATGGGGAGATCACTGCTTGTGAGTTCGCTCTTTTATTTCTTAAAAAAACACCCCTTTTAATGTWGATTTTTAACTTTATGAGAGCTCGTCTCTTGTTAGTAACCGGTGTATCTTCGGGGAGGTGAATGCAACCATCTCTGGACTTACAGCCACATTTCGCAGTAAGTAGGTCACAGACAGGCAGATATTTGTCTTTTATTGTAAATAACAAAAATATCAAGGAAGCATGAAATAAGTAGTTGTGCTTTTATAGAAAACTTGTCAGAGCACAAAGGACAAATCCTGCAGACTTGTTCTGGCTGCCTGCTGTGGACAGACGCTTTTCGAAACAGGGACGCCACCGGCAGATTCATTCTGCAGTTCAGTAAGTGCTGATTTTTATTTAGATTAAAGCATAACATGTGCATGTACCTCTTTCAAAAAAAATTTTTTTATGTCTTTCAGCGAGGACAGGACAAATAGATGCCAAAGACGTTGAAATGTTCAAGCAACAAGCAGAGTGTCTGAACTTCCCAAAGAACTTTCACAGCTACGACAACAAAACAGGTCAGTGGGTTTTTCTGCAGGCAGCTGCAGCTTTGCCTCAGAGCTGCGCAGACACTGCCACAAGGTGGAGATCCAACATTGGAAAATGAAGGATTTGGACATGAATATGCGCTAGATTAGAAATATTAAACTAAAAAATTAAATAAATAAATGCCCCCCTACCAGATGTCCAATTCCTGCTGTTGGCTTTGACTAAGTGTGGCCCMCTGAGCATCTACCTCATTAAAAAGGAGTTTTGTCTCAGAGTTTTGTTCTTTTCCTTTTTTTTCAGAGTTGTGTCCTGATGAGAAAGAAACAACTGAGTGAGCAGCTGCTAAWCGAAGAGAGCTGAAGAAATACGCACAGCAACATGTATTAAGAAAAATACAATCTTGTTTTGTGTTGTCTTTTCTCTCCTTTATGCAAAAAGTTTGTAAAGTGAGTGACAGGCTTCCACCAGAAACACATGTTGTTGTTTTTACAGTGAAACAAAGAAYCATGTTATCACATAACCTCTTTAAGAACATGATATTTTGATATATAGGTAAAAAAAAAACTTTAATTATGTAGTTTGGGATTTTTACTGTTTTGCCAACTTTCACAAAATTGTGAATTTAAAACAGACAAAAAGGGTTTTCTATGTTTAGCCAGTATTCAATGATTTTTGGTCATTTGCTGTGTTTGTGATCAAATAACATAATAACATGATGGCATTCACAAAGTTTGCAGAATTTGGAAACTAACAAGTATCTAACAAGACTTTGAAAATCTACATTCCTTAAAATTTCATATACCTGCGTGTGTGTCAAGTATAATTTATATGAGTTCTTATCAAACAAAGGTTTAGTGGATTGGAAATCTGCAGTAATTACAAACAGTAGTTACATTTGATGCATAAGAGATTAAAACTTATGTTGATTTTTTTATTATTTCCACATTTCCAGGTACATTTAATGAAAAGATTTCAAAATATCTGTGAAATCATTTGACACAAGCATAAATATGGATGATATAGACAATTGATACAGATATATTATTTACAAACAGTAGTTACATTTGATGCATAAGAGATTAAAACTTATGTTGATTTTTTATTATTATTTCCACATTTCCAGGTAGATTTAATGAAAAG